GAAGTTAAAAACAACTTTTGAGATGTAATATTGATATAAGGATTAAACAAGGATAAAAAAAAATGTCAAGTATAGAGGATCCACTAATGGTATTTCAAATAAGTATAGTAAAAATTCTTTTTATTACTCATTTGGAAACCATACATAAAAGAGGTTCCAATCGGATTATAAATTGTTAACATGATTATAATAATTATCTTATTTGAGTAATGTCAATAATTGTAAATGTGGTCAGGTATTTATGGTGCAATTTATGTTAATAACAAATTAAGTTTCATTCATGAAACAAGTGTCGGTTATACCATATTGTCGGCTACGAAGGTGTCAAGTATTTGTTGTACTAAGGGTTGTATAACACAAATCTAGATTAATCATTTAGCAAGCAAGGTATTAAGAATGAGTAAGATAACAAATACAAAACATATTAGTATCAAATATTAAAATCCATGTTGAGTTAAACATTAAAATCCATGTTAAGTTTATATTATACTTATTCTTATATCATTACTATACCTGTTTCACTCCGACAAAATTAACTTAGCTAAACATAACGAAGAAGAAAACATAAATAAATAATATAAGAATATAATAATATAAGAATATAAGAATATAAGAATATAAATATGATATAAGTTAACTAAGTATAGCAAAGAAAATAAAAAGTATAAACAAGAGATTAATATAAAATAAAATAAAACTTAAACATTACAAAATACAAAAAGAATCATGCAATAACTCATTAAAGCTAAAAAAAAATGATTTATCATCACTTACCCACATCAAACTAAGGAGAAATTCCAAGGTTTCTAACCTTCTTTTTCTTTTTCTTCTCCCTCTTAAAACTTTTGTTTCTATTTCTAGCTACCACTTTCTCTCTCTTATTTCTTATAAACCCTTGCCAATAAATCCTTCTTTTCACTCTTTTCTTCCATTATTTCATTTAGTCATTCCATTTTAGTGAATTTCCTAAGAAAGTTTTAAAAAAATAAAAGAGAGAAGGTCCACCTGTAACTGTTGAAAGCAAACTCTTGTAGGCTGATTTTATGTTTAAATACATTTTTTCCCTTTATTTAATGTTCCTTGTATTTTTTATGTAAATTACTTGGTTGTTTTAGACGAGTCTTTATTCTAAATTCTGGTTGTCATGAAATAACAACCCAATGTATGACATCAAGTATTCTGGTTGTCATGAAAATACAACCCCGTGTATGACATCAAATCAAGAGATTCCTCGTAAAAGTTTAGTCTAATTTAATTATCAAATTGAGAATTATGCTTGATACTATAAAATTGGTCAATTTGTGATTTCTTATCAGACATTTGAATTTTCTTATTCAACCTTTGCATCAATCGTATCAATTATTTTACTAAATCTTTGGGATCATTTTCTTCTCATCAAATATATTCATTTATTTATTTATATATTAATTATTTTATTCATGAACTTGTTAGTATTTTGTGGTAACATTATTTATTTTTAACTAAGATTTACACAAACACTTTTTCATACAGTTCTTTCTTAACTTTTTATTCCTCCATTCTATTATAATTCTTGGATTTATTTTTTCATTCTCAAAACACATTTATTTTAACTTTTCCTAATTCTTTTGTCCAACAAAACTCATTACTGATTTCTCCAAAATCATGAATTTTTAACTAAATTTCTTAGTCCTCATTTTAACTTAAAAAAAACCTTTGAATTCATTTATAGATTTTATCCCCTCCAATACACATCAAATTATTATTATTCTAATTATTTATCTATTTTATTTGATCCTAAGTTGCCATTTTTTATTAAAGTTTTATTATGTTTAACCCTTTACGCAGAGGTTTACAATGTTTATTTCTTTTACAAGTAAAACAATGTGTAAAGTATTTTTTAAAAAATTATATTACATATCAAATGTTTGAGTTAGTTACTAATTGTTGTATATTTTTTTTACATAGAAATATGGTTATGAGAGCATTTACACATGGGTGACCAAGAATTAAGTCCAATCTTTTCAAGTTTTGGAGGTAAAGCTACAAGCTTTATTAGGATACGTGTAATATGTTATTGATAATAAAAATGATGTTATTCATATTAAGTATATTTTTTTTTATTGTAACCTTATTTATTAAGTATTAAGTTTCATTGGTTATTTATTAACAGATGGTGTGAGAGTAGATGCTTTGAAAATAATCCAACAAATATTTGTTATTTTATCGTAGCGAGTTAGATAAACAGTAGTCAAATTAACTACGTTATAATAAATTGTAATGTTGATTTTAAAATTGGTTGATTTTGAAAATTTTCAAATTAAGATCCTTGGGTCTGGCATGACAGCCAGACCCAAAATCCCTAGGTTTGATATGACCCAAGCACCTTGTGTATGGCTATCATGTTAAACCTAAGATACTTGAGGTTTGGAAGCACCTTGGGTTTGACAGTCATCTCAGATGATTAGTATTGAAAAGTGCATTTTTATCAAGATTTTATATTATTATTTTGCACTTGAAGTATCAATAACTTATTAACTGAAGCATGTTTTATAATAACATATCTAATAATATAAGATACCTTTAATTTGTAGTAAATGTTCATTTTAAATGAAAGCTTATCATATAAATGAAAGGATTTATTAATGAGTTTAAGTACTGAAATTGAAAGGACACAGAGATGGCCAAACTTAGAAAAGAAATACTAGTGCAATCCAAACCAAAATACTATTCGGTAATTGGATCATATATGGAGTTGTGGATCTTAGATTTAGTGGATTTAGGTCTGTGTTATATGGATGGAAAGGTAAGACATAGGGGATCTTAGATTTAGGTCTGCGTTATATGGATGGAAAGGTAAGACATAGGCCTATAACTTTCATATAGAGGTCTGGTTTTAAAAAGGTCATTTTCAAGTCTAAATTATAACAACAATAAAGAAGTCTGAATCTATCCTACAGCCCCTACATTGTTTAGTGTTTGGCCCATATCTGGAGTTCTAGAAGTTCAAATGACCTTAATTTTTTTTCTTGGAAAGTTGAGATGATTTCCTACAACTTTCATGTTCAAGTGGTTCCAATTCTGACATTATTAATAATGTTTTGGGCAAATAAGAGAATATAAGGATTGTCACCAAGTCAAGAGTTGGCCACTCACTCATCAATT